GTGCCCATCAGCAGAAGAATGGATAACCAACTATGGTAGATACACACAATGGAATGTTATGCAACACTAAAGCATAATGTAGAATCTGAAAAAACACTCCATAACATGGATGACCTTGGAGGACATTATGCTGAGTGAAATAAAATAATGTGGATGACCTTGGAGGACATTACGCTGAGTGAAATAAGTCAGTCACAGAAGGTCATATATTGTATTAGTTCACTACTGTAAAAAGTCAGGGAAAGGTTTAAATATGGAAGGAAACTTTCTTTGTTGGTTACCAGGGGTAGGTAGGGAGGGGAGGGAACACTAATAGATCTATAGAGACAAGTACTGGTTTGGGTGAAGAGAAGGGCAATGTACCAAAAGTGAGTGAGCAACATAGTGGCACTGAGGAAGAGGACGAAAGAGAGGTACATTGGGGGTATAGATAAGAAAGATATGAACCATTTTGCATGTACAGTACTGTGTTGTCAGTGATGGGCATCATTGATTTACTGGTGGATAAATGGCTGGACAGGCTGAATGATCAGGTATGTCTAGGCAGGGGGGGAGTGTGCCCTTGACCATATATAGAGTTAGCAGACAATGTTTCTACAGCATATATGTTTGTACTTTAATATTGTCCAGGTGTATAGTAGAGCTAGCAAGGGGCAAGGTTGTGGTCACTTCTTGGCCACAGCTAGCTACCCTGAGGGAGCAAGTAGTTGGACCTGTGGGCTCAGGACCATGGTTGCAGAGGACATCAAGCTCAATTGGTATAACATACTACACAGAAACATTGTTCTATATCCTACTTTGGTGAGTAGCAATTGGGGTCTTAAAAGCTTGTAAGTGGCCATCTAGCTGCAATGATAGGTCTCTCCTCATCCAGAGCAAAGAATGAAGAAAACCAAAGATGCATGGAAACAATTAGTCCAAGGGACTAGTAGACAATGTGATAATCAGCCTATAAGACCGTGAGACCAGACGAACTAGATGGTACCTGGCTACCACTGTCAACCACTTGGAGGGGGATCTATGTAGGAGATCTTGGATAGAGAGGGAGAACAATGTGGAACAACACTCAAAATAAAAAAAATAAAAAGACCAGGTTTGCTGGTCTGATAGAGTCTGGTGAGACCCCTTAGACTATGGACCCTTGTTACTCTTCAAATCTGGAACTGAACTCACTCCTGTGGCTTTCAGCCAAAAAGAGACAGGCATATGGGGTGAACATTTATATCACATAGATATATTCCTTGGAGCAATCAGTCGTGGGAGAACAGAAGGGCAGTGTTTGCACAGGGAGATAGCTGGGGGTGTGTGGTGGGTGCATGGTAGGGAAGGACAAAGGGAAGAGGTAATTGCAGGGAGGAAGTGGGAAGAGAGCTATTATATTGTGGGGAAACTGCTGTATGGAAAATGAATTTGCTCTGTAAACTTTCACCCAAATCACACACAAAAAAATTTATTTTAATCTAAAACTGAAGACACAAGTTTGCAAATAAAAGGACTCACTATTGTTCAGCACGTGAATCAAAAGGCCTGTTCCAAGGTAGAGTATAAAATATCAGAACTATAATTGTGGGAGAAAACCAATTGTTGCAAGTCATTCTTTTTCTAGGAGTCCCTGGATGGTGCAGATGGTTAAGTGCTCTACTACGAACCAAAAGGTTGGCAGTTTGAATCCACTCAGTCTTCGCAGAAGACCGACCTGCTGATACACTTTCTAAAGGTCCCAACCTTGAAAACACTACAGAGTGGGGTTCTGCTCTGCCATATATAGGGTAGCCTGCCATTAGTTGGAATCCACTTATCAGCATCTGGTGGTGGTGGTGGTTGTTTTCCCTACTAGAATCCACTGTACTCTGGCAAATAGCCACAGTAGTTCAGGACCATCACATTGATGTATATTTTGGGATAAACAGAAAATGATGAAGGACATTAAAATATGGACACTCATATAGTTCACTGACTAGAAGGAACTTGTGGGTTGTAATGAGAACCATATATCTGAGTATCTCATTGAAAGGTCACTTTAAAGGGTTATAAGGTTGACTTGAGCTTTTAGAAGTTGAGTAGCAGTACAACCTGCTTCCTTGTTTGTACAGAACCAACTGGACACAACAATTTTCCTTAGACTGATTTTTATTCTCTTATTCTTTACCACCCTATGGTTACTGTGGCACTCTCTGGAAGGAAGATCCTGGAACACTCAGAACTATTCTTATAAGATCTCTGGAAGGCTAAACAAACTCAGGCTCTCTATTTGAAATTCTGTTTGAGAAGCGACTCATAAAAATGCAGCTCACTTCAAAAAACAAAATCTTTCAGAGATTATCTGAGCTTTGTCTTTGATAGTCATGATAAATGGAGTTGGGAATATTCCCTTTATAAGAGAATTGTCTTGTAACCTGTTGAAAAGGGAGATAAATCAAGTTGGGAATATAATTTAAGAAGGGGCTGTGTTGGTTATTAAACTATTGTAACTTGACTCCAAACCTAACTTTCTATACTCTGCTTTGTGATGTTGGCACTGGGACTCTCCATAGAATTTTTCTCCTTTGCAGTAACTTCTTTTTAGGTTCTGGCAGTGGTGGTGGTGGAACACTACAGGGAAGTTGGAAGGTAGGAGGAGGGGAGAGGTGACCTCTTCTGTTTTCTTAGTGTTCCAGTCACTGTCACCCCAGCAGCAGCCCTTTGCCCCAGCTTCATTTGGAACTCCCAACATCAGCCTCATCATTTATTTCCCTTTAGTGAAAAACCAGCAATAGCCAGGTTCTACCTCCCTAGCAAGGACTGTGAGGATGGCACAGGACCAGGCAGTATTTCATTCTGTTGTACACAGGGTCGCTATGAGTCGGAATCAACTTGATGGCACCTAAGAACAACCACCACCGCTCCTAGAGGTCTGAGTCAAGTCCCATGAAGCCCCTCCTCCAACCTCTCCCCATGCATCCCAGTAGTATGGGTAGTAGTTTCTAACTGCAGTTATCATCTCTGGATTATCTCAAATGTCCCCCTTTTGCTCTTTCAGCCCTCTACCACCTGTTCAACCAATTACTTTTATTAAATTCCTTCTGCTGAAATGCTTAGAGTTTTTCTCTTTTATGATCAGACCCTGAGAGATACATTGACAGATGTAAATGTGGATCATAAACATGATCTGGTTTTCTTATCAGTTAGCAGAGAAAACTTAAATGATCCTTCTGGATAAACCTTTTATCTTCTTCCTATTCCTGATACATAGCACACAATTTAGCAAATTTTAGAATGTTTTTTTCTAAACAAACAAACAAAAACAGTAGTAAACAGGGCCTTTGACCCTTTTTTCTTACTGCTCATCTTTGGAATCTAGCTGCTGGAATCTGAGGGACTGCATTCCCTAAATACAGTTTTATACACTGATGCATGTGATGAAAACCCAAATCAAATTAGAGGGAGCAAAAAAGACTACATATTGCTCATATAACTGGGAAATCTAAGAGCATGGTGAACTTCAGGTATTGTTGGATTCTGGAGTTCAGATTTATCAAGACAAAGTCTTTGTATCTTTTGGCTTATACTTCTATTGGCTTAATTATCAGGCAGAGTCTTTGTGTATGGTAGTATAGATGAGTATAACAGTTTGTTCTCAGAGTCTTATATCATTCTTAGAGTTCATGATTCCAAAGAAAAGTGAGACCTGATCTCCTACTTTCCATTCTCAAACCTCATATACACTTGTGCTTATTGGTTATACCTTTTGTGAACTAACAACCAAGGCCAGAAGGAAAAGATGTAACAACTGTCTTGGTCTTTGTCTAGGCGCATGCTTATATACCTCTAGGGTAAAGAGTCCTGGTGGCACAATAGTTAAGCCTTCGACTGCTAACCAAAAAGTCAGCAGTTGGAACCCCCTAACTGCTCAGCAGGAGAAAAGATCTGGTGCTGCTCCAGTAAAGATTACAACCTAGGAACCTCTACTGAACAAGCTATACTCTGCTTTATAGTGTTACTATGAATGGGACTCAACTTGAAGGCACACAACAACCACCCCTTGGCTGGAGGAACAATATTAGCTATACTGCACTGAAGCATGTAGAATTGGTTCCCAAATAAAAAAGAAAGTCTATTACTAGAAAAATGAATATAGGACAGGTAAAGGGAGCTCTGGTGGCCTAGTGCCTAAGGCATTTGACTGCTAACCAGAAGGCTGGAGGTTCAAACCCATCAGCCACTCCTTGGAAGGAAGGTTGGACAATCTACTTCCGTAGTGATAGTGCCTCAGAAACCCAAGGAGGGGTCACTGTGAGTCGGATCTGACTCGAGAGCAGTGTGTTTGTGTTTGGACAGGTAAAAACAATAGTTGTCTGTCATAGGTAAGCTACCTTTCTGTTCTGGCCATAAGGATGTATATTAAAATCACCTACAGCCAATTCAGAAGTTAGGCATAAGGGTTAAAAATAATAAAGTCCTTTGAAAGAATTTCATTGCTTTTTGTTGATTTTAACCTGTTACTCCAATTCTAAAAACCCTAGCAATTATGTAAAGGCAAAATAGTTCATTTTAAATACATCCTATTGCTTACCTTCAGATCTGACTCGATGGCAGTGACTTTGGTTTATTGTTTACCTAGACTTCTGGTCACTCTAAACCAAAACCAAACCTGTTGCCATAGAGTTGATTCCAACTTATAGCAACCCTGTAGGACAGAGCAGAACTGCCCTGTAGGGTTTCGAAGGCTATGATCTTCAAGGACACCAACTGCCACATCTTTCTCCTCAGGAGAAGCTGGTAGGTTTGAATTGCTGACATTTTGGTTAGCAGCCAAACATTTAACCACTGCACCACCAGGGCTCCTTCTAGACACTCTAGGCACATTCAAAAACTATTATTTTTATATCATTTTTTTTTCTGTTTAAAATACAAGAATCCTTTGATTATAGAATAGTCACACAAAAATTATTCTCATTCATGTAAAACTCATATAGGAACATTTTCCAGAACATTTTATTCATAACTTTCATGTATTTTAGGATTTGGCTGATGAACTTGCCCTTACTGATATTGCAGCAGACAAGTTGAAGGGAGAAACGATGGATCTTCAGCATGGCAGCCTTTTCTTTCATACTTCAAAGATTGTCTCTGGAGAAGGTTAATTTTAGTTTTATAAGTTATTTTTACAGCTTTAAAAATAATTTTATTAAGCTGATATCAATAAACGTTAATTTAAAAATAGCACCACTGTCTTTAGTAGGACATATAGTTTAAAAGGTTAATATTTTTAAAAAATACATTTTATTATAATTGGGCAATGTGGTGGTTATGTTTGTGTATCAACTTGGCTGGGCCTGGTTGAGTGGCTGGGCAGCTGGTGGTAGTTATTCTCATGATGAGACTGGCAATCAGCTTGTGGTGGGATCTACCATAAGCAGCTGAGTAGCTGCCTTTGAGATGTGGTCTGCTTCCTGTATATAAGGAGAAGCCTTGGGAATGGTCTTTAGCATATCGCATGCTTGGACCCTGCATGTAGCTGTGTTGTTGTTCACCAGCCTGCCATGCTCTGCTGACCTTGGGACTTACAATGGACTTGAATTAATGGCCTGCCATGTGGTTTGGTGACATCAGAACTGTGCCTGTTTTTACTTGTCAACCTTGGGTTTTTCAGCCTCAGCAGCCAGCAGCTGTCTGAGTGAAGAAGAGCCTTTAGCTTCAGTGGGCTGGGAGCTGGAGGCAGAGCTAAAGCCCAAGGTGAAGGGGCTTTCACCCAGCCCCTAGAGCCTGGCACTTTGAATGTGGACTTCTAGCCTCCTGACCTGTAAGAGAATAAACTCCTGTTTGTTAAGGCCATCCCATTTGTGGTATATATCTTGTCAGAGTGGCACTAGGTAACTAGAACAGGGAAATTTTTGAAAAATACAGACTACTGTAAAGTAAAATTTAAATCTTTTCAGTTAATCGTTTTGTGTATTTATTTCAAGTCTTCTATGCAATTTATGGTTTTGCATCCTGTTTTTTAAACTTGTTTTTCTTACATATTTTTCTAAAGATACATAGTTTTGAGTAGTTTTTATAATACGATTGATGTATTTATCCCATACTCTTTCACCTAGTCTTCTTCTTGTGTTTATAGAGGCTAAGTTTTGGGGTATAGAATATGGAGCTACAGGACACTGGGAACGGAGAGCTTGGTTACACTATCTTTAGCATTATGTGCTGATCAACCAAGAAACTTCAGATAATTGGGAAAAAGAATTATTTTATAATGCTAATGTGTACTGCACTCACTCATCTATGCCAAGAAATTTGGAAGACAGCTACCTGGGCAACTGACTGGAAGAGATCCATATTTGTACCCATTCCAAAGAAAGGTGATCCCACAGAATGTGGAAATTATTGAACAATATCATTAATATCACATGTAAGTAAAATATTGCTGAAGATAGCTCAAAAACGGTTGCAGCAGTATATTGACAGAGAACTTCCAGAAATGCAAGCTAGATTCAGAAGAGGATGTGGAACGAGGGATATCATTGCTGATGTCAAATGGATCTTGGCTGAAAGCAAAGAATACCAGAAAGATGTTTACTTGTGTTTTATTGACTATGCAAAAGCATTCAATTGTGTGGATCCTAAAAAATTATGGATAACATTGAGAAGAATGGGAACTCCAGAACACTTAATTGTGCTCACGGGGAACCTGTACATAGACCAGGAGGCTGCTGTTTGAACAGAACAAGGAGATACTGCATGGTGTAAAATCAGGAAGGGAGTGTGTCAGGGAGTACTTATTCAATCTGTGTGCTGAGCAACTCTGAGAAGCTGGACTATATGAAGAAGAATGTGGCATAGGCATTGGAGGAGAGGACTCACTAACAACCTGTGATGCGCAGACAGCACAACTTTGCTTGCTGAAAGTAAAAATGACATGAAACACTTACTGATGAAGACTACAGTTTGCAGTTTGCAGTATGGATTACATCTTAACATAAAGAAAATGAAAATCCTCACACTGGACCAATAAGCAATGTCACAATAAATGAAGAAAGGAATGAAGTTGTCAAAGATTTCATATTACTTGCTTCCTCAATCAACACCAATGGAAGCAGCAGTCAAGAAATCAGACCACGTATTGCACTGGGAAAATCTGCTGCAAAAAACCTCTTTAAAGTGCTGAAGAGAAAAGATGTCTCTTTTAAAAGACTAAGGTGCACCTAACCCAAGCCATAGTATTTTCAATCACCTCATATGCATGTGAGAGCTGGACAATGAATAAGGAATACCAAAGAAGAGTTGATAGTTTTGAATTGTGGTGTTGGTGAAGAATACTGAAGGTACCATGGACTGCCAGAAGAACTAACAAATCTGTCCTGGAAGAAGTGCAGCTGGAATGCTCTTTGGAAGCAAGAATGGACAGAATTTGTTTTACGTACTTTGGTCATGTTGTCAGAAGGGACTATTCCCTGGAGAAGGATATCATGCTTGGTAAAGTGAAGGGTCAATGAAAAAGGGGAAGGCCCTCAACAAGATGGATTGACACAGTGGCTGCAACAATGGGATTGCGTGTAGCAAGGATTATGAGGCTGGTACAGGACCGGGCAGTGTTTCATTCTGTTGTTACAGGGTTGCTATGAGTCAGAGCTGACTCGATGGCACCTAAAAACAACAACGTGTATTGCAACACACTCTGATAATGTGATTCAACAAATGTACTTTCTACTAAAAAGCCCTTTTATCTAACATGATTGGCACTGAAGGAGGTTAATAAATTAAAGAAATGCAAAAAGAAAACCTAAAGGGGGGTGTGAGAAATACCCATTAGGATGGGACATTATATACATTTTATATTAACTTAAAATGTGTAAATATATTTAGAAATTTATTTGCCAGTATTCTGATTTTAGGGGAAAGTATTTGAGTTTGGCTCAGCTGATTGCCATTTTTGCAGTATCCTTCTTAAAGCACACCAATGATGATCATTTCAGGTTCTTTAAAGTACTACATGAAATTAAAAGATACTCATGAATCAATCTAATCACAAATTTCTTATAAATTTTTATGCTTCATTTTTATTTCTCTCTTTCATACTTAAAAGGCTAGTTTAAACAACCCTTTTAATACCTCTTTCCAAGGCATACAACTTAATTTTCAAAGATAGTTATTTTTTAAAAATCAATTCATTGTGAAATATTTGACATATAAAAAGAGATTAAGAATGATATAATGAACATTAATGTATCCACCACCCAACAAAAGAAATAAAAATTAACAATTCAGTTAATGCATTTTGTATGGTGCACATCATTTTTATCTCCCTTCTCCCCAAACCTCAATTCTGAATGTAGTGTTTATCATGTGTCATGGATTGAATTGTTTCCTCCTGTTCTGATTACCTAGTGCCACTCTGACAGAAATATACCACAAATGGGATGGCCTTAACAACAGGAGTTTATTCTCTTACCGTTTGGAGGCTTTAAGTCCAAGTTCAAAGTGCCAGGCTCTAGGGGCTGGGTGAAAGCCCCTCCACCTTGGGGCCCAGCTCTGCCTCCTGCTCCTGGCCCACTGGAGCTAGAGGTTTTTGTTCACCCAGACAGCTGCTGGCTGCTGAAGCTGCCAAGCCAAGGTAAAAAAAGGCACAGTTCTAATGTCACCAAACCACACGGAAGGCCATTAATTCAAGTACATTGTAAGTTCCAAGGTTGGCAGAGCATGGCAGGCTGGTGAACAACAACACAGTTACATGCAGGGTCCAAGCGTGTGATATGCTAAAGACCATTTCCAAGGCATCTCCTTATATACAGGAAGCAGACCACATCACAAAGGCAGCTACCCAGTTGCTTGTGGTAGATCCCAAGTGATTGCCAGTCTCATCATGGGGAATAACTACCACCAGCTGCCTGCCCCCCCCCCAACCAGGCCCAGCCAAGTTGACACAAAAACATAACCACCACACCTCCCCAAAATATGTGTCAACTTGGCTTGGACATGATTCTCACTGGTTTGACAGTTATGTAATGATGGTATCATCCTCCATGGTTTGGTCTGATGTGATCGGCCAGTCAATTGTAAGGGGATTAGTGTGGGATACAACACCCTCTAGTCAGGTTGCAGCCCTAATCCAATCTGAGGGGAGTTTTTTCCGGGGTGTGGCCTGCATCACCTTTTATCTTACAAGAGATGAAAGGAGAGATAAATAAGCAGAGTAGGAAAGATATTATGACCAAGAAAGAGGAGCTGGGAACAAAGCATGTCATTTGGACCCAGAGTCCTTGTGCTGAGAACCTTCTAGACCCAAGGGAAGATGTTGCCAAGACACATGGAGCTCTCCAAGGGACGCTGGGCCCACAGATGTTGAGAGGAGGCAAGGACCTTCCCCCACAGCCAACAGAGAGGAAGCCTTTCCTTAGAGCTGGCACTTCAAATTTGGACTTCTAAACTGTGAGAGAATAAATTTCTGTTTCTTAAAGCCATCCACTTGTGCTATTTCTGTTATAGCACCAGTAGATAACTAAGACAGAATTTGGTACTGGAAGGAGTGGGGTACTACTCTAATAGAAACATAAGATATGGAAGCAGTTTTGGAATTGGGTAATGAATAGAGGCTGGATGAGTTTTAAGATACCTAATAGTAAAAGCCCAGATTATCTTGAAGATATTATTGTTGGAATTATGGATGTCAAAGGCAATTCTGGTGAGAGTTTAAACAGAAGTGAAGAGAGCTGTAACATCAGAGATGGCTCAGATGGTGAGAAGAAACAGCAGAGAAACAGCAGCAATAGAACCAAGAGACCTATGCAAGATGGGGCAGGAGTGGACCCATCAAGCAAGGGAACTGAGCACCTTTGGGCCAAGACTTACTGGCAGAATGGAGTGCCCCTGGACTCTTACTGGTAGAGCTAAAGACCTTTGTAACACTAGTCTGAGCAGGGCAGAGGCAAGGCCAGCCCGAGAGTCCAGAGGGGCTGAGAAGAATAAGGAAGCAGAAGATGAAGGGGAAAGGAGCACAGGAAGCAGAGCTGCCTGGGTCTCAGAGTGTAGGGCTATGACCACTTGGATCTCAAAGAGTGGGGCCATAGCCTCTTAGGTTTCAAAGAATCAGATCTTCACTAAGTTTGTTCTAGAATGTGGGGCTGCCATTCCTGAGGGCCAGGGAA